CGTATAATGCAGCACAATATCACCGCTTGGAAAAGATGGATATCCAGGGCGGGTGCGGGGGAAGGGGGAGGGGCGAGAGCAGCGAGTGGAGGAGTGAGGCAAGGACAGGGAAATAATGATGGAGTACCTCAAAGTTTGATGCAAAAACGCATGATCGCACCGGCTCGCCTGGTGCGTTCCAGCCTGGGTTTTCTCCTTTTTTCCTTCTTTCCTTTTATCCTTTTTTTTTTATTAACCGTTTCTTGAGGATCAACAGTTTCATCTGCAGTGCATGACGAACTCATTGCGTCTGTTGATAACTGCTTTAACGTATTTTAGCGTGTTGAGCTTCTTTTAAAATTTGCAAAATTATTCAATTTTTATGCTTTTTTGTTTAAGAAATGTAACATCTGAGTTAGACTGAATTGGAAGTATCGTTCTGTGGGTTTCAAAATCTTCTAATCAAAATTCGCAATCAATTTTCAGGATCCGAGCAGCAGGGCGTGGATTAGCTCCATAATAAAAAGTAGTGTTGGCACATCGTCATCCTCATCACTGAGTCAGTCACCATCTTGTGTTATTTCACCACTGGAAAGAAAAGGAAATGATGGCTCGTTCCGGCAGCACTCAGCACTACACAGTTTACGATCGCTGGATCCGGACACATGCAGTGAAAAAAGTCTTGCTGGTAAGTACTTGGATGAGTTTCTTCATTTTCAAAATGTCTAATATGAAAATCAAAATGCAAAATACTTTTGATGCTTTAAGTTTCTATTCATTCAGTACTATCATATTTGCTTTTTCTTTCGCTTCACTTCATTGATTTACATGCATGCACACGCACAGCAGGTGGAACTTTTCTGGTATGTGTGCACAATGTAAGTAAGGAACAGCCGTACATCATACTTCGGGCGAGCATCAACAGCACAGCGAGTGACATCATTAAACAGGTATTTTTTGATCGAAATGTTTTGGAATGGTTTGTTAAATGAATTTTTTGAAATGCTTTTGCTATCTCTACGGAAATATGGGCGCATTTACGGGTACGATCAAATTCGCGCATCTTCAGTAAACTCACTAAGTTGCATCGGAACTGCAAATTCAGAAACAGGGGCTCTTTTGTTCTTTTCTGATTAACTCTGGATGAAATGATTTTTCTTTGTGTTGTGTGGATCAACTGTTGGTATTGTTAAGGTTTTCCTGAAACTGCGTCGCATGGATGCCAGTGTGTCAGAATATGTATTGTTGGAAGAGACAGTGAAAGATGTGAACATAAGCATACCCAAGTCGCAACAGCCCAGTCCGAGCCTGCAAGTGAGCAGCAAGGATGTTGCGTTATCTAGGAAGAAAAGCGCTGAAGGTTGGCTTAATGTCTAACATTTCTGCATAACAAGCATATTTCCATAATTTTCTGGCAAGTTTTAGGCGCGATTATTGAAATTTTGCTGAAGTTTGGTTGCTCCATGCAGCGTGTCGGAAAATTTAAGATTAAGCTCAGGCAGTGCGTGGAAATTTTCCAGTTTGTTTGCAACCAGTTATTTGCTAATGGGCAAAGATGCTGACTGGGCAACAGATAGCATGAAGGAGCATTACCGGAGCTGCACGAACGTAATATTAAATAATTGGCCAACGCACGGGTTGCCCGTGCGGAGATGCGTTTTTTGCAGAGTTCCCCGCAGTTTTTGTCGCCACCAGCATCGGTTTGTTCGGCAGATGCTTCTAGTTGAAAGAATTTCAGACTGGCCGCCAGAACTGTCAGGAAACATCCCCT